TAAAAAAAAAATTTTAAGTTATTTAAAATAGTTAAATTTTGAGGAAATAAAAGATAAGATAGAAAGTAAAGTATGAGTTTAAAAGGTTTTCAATTGTCTTAATTCAGAGAATTAAAATAAATGATAAAAAGTAGAACATGGGTTTAAAAGATATTTTTATATTATTGTGATAAATTTTTTTTGGGAAACATTGGATATGGTATATATATATATATTAATGTATTTTGGAAAAATTTTTAAACCATTGGATATGGTTGAGGTAATAATAATTTTTGTACCATTGGATTTGGTTGAGGTAATAAACCATTGGATATGGTAGGGGTAATAATAATTTTGTGTTATATATTTTGATTTTAGTTTTTAAACCCAGTGTTTTGATAGTAAGTTTTATTTTGTATTATTTTGTAAACCTTAAGACTCATTGAATGGCGTTATAGGTATTCATCATAGGAAATTAAGACCTCACGATATGCAGGACAGAAAAGATTGCTTGATATTTAAATTATGGATTATAATTAGCATGAATAAATTTTGTTGAAAAATAATGTTAAAAAAATTAATTGTGATAATATTGATAAATAAAAAAAAATGGTGAAATGAAAATTATGGATATGAAACATTTTAATGTTTTAAAAAACGAAAAAAAGTTGATAAAAGAAATAAAAAGAAAAATTATGTGATGAAGTAAAAAATATGCAAATCACAGATATAAAAGTTTTACGTTAAACATGTGCTAAAGATGAATTGAGTGTAAAAGTAAATTGATAAAAAAATTTTTGATTTTATATGTATAAATGTGGATTTATATACCATATATGTAAAGAATAATAATGGAGGGAGCCATTAGATAATATTATAATATTTTTATGTTTAAAATTTTGATTAAAGGTTTATATATACATGCGTGAAAATTGGCCATTGGGGGAAAGTAGTAGTTCATAATATAAAAAAAAGGTCTCTTGTTAATTGGTTTAATATTTGAAATTCAGGATTATGATTGAGAGGGAAGAAGTGTATTTGGGAAAATACTAGAAGAAATGAATAATGATTACATTTTGGATATAATTAAAAAAACATTGGATTAACATACTCTTCGTAATATTCCATCCAATCAACTACGATGATGCTGGATAATTTCATCAAGCTTAAGATAGAATGATCATAACTGACCAATGATGCAATGAAAAAATCAAGCTATACAACACACAGTTAAATTAAATGATAATCAACAGCGCAATGAACACTATGATTAAGAAAAAATGGGTACCAACAGCTCATTGAAAGTTAGGCATAGTTAAGGAAAAATGTACAACTTCCAGGAATGGAAAAAGGAAAATTTAATGAAGTAAATAAAAATTTTTATATTTCTCTTTGATCATTTACTAGAATTTATGTAGACATTTACTTTGGTTCCAGTTTGATTTCTCAAGAAAGGGGGAGGGCGTGTTGTATCTGTTGATATATAATTGACATTTATGGACTTTTTTCAATTGATTTCGCATAAAAGATAGATAACATTTTTTTATTCATTTTTTATAGATCATGTGATATTATTAGATGAAATAATAGGGGAATAATTGTTTGGGAACATATATACTTGATTTTGTATTATTATAGTTTAAGGCTTATGATAATTATATACTAGTGATGCAAAATAGCTCCATTTGAGCCGATTTTAAAAACGGCTAAATCAGTATTTTATCCAGAAAAAAATTAAACAAGTCTAAAGATTTTGCTCATAGATGGCACAAAGGTTTGGAAACTTATTAGCGAAATCTCGAGGCTTAGACAATATTTTTCTGGCTTAAATATTGAGTTAGCCGTTTTTAAAAACTGGCTCAAATGGAGCAATTTTGCATCACTAGTTTTGTAGCAATGTATATAAGAAACTTTTTTATTAATTTTTTTTGAAGCAGGGTTTGTACTCATCGATTTCGCCCAGACATTACGTTTGCACCATCAAATGCCTGGCTTATTATATTCAATGAATTAATATTAATTCATTAAGTTGCTATAAAATACAATTAGTAATGATTTCAGCAGAAAGACATTATAAATTAATGATTTCTATTAAATTTTCTTGAATTTCTCCATAAAAAATCTAATGAATATTTATGCTAAGGTTTATTAATTTGTATAAATTAACTAAATATTTCTTTAAAAATTTTGTTGTATTTTCATTTAGATTTAATTGTTAATGGTGAAAAATTTAATAACTAAATAAATTTTTTTTAAATTTTGGGACTCAAAAATTTTTTCGGTGGGCCAGGTTTGGGGGCCATAAATTTTTTTACCTACTTGAATATTTATTACCCTAGAGTACTTTGGGCTGTCGGTAACGTCATCAATAGAGTATAAGCTCGGCCTGGTCCGTGGCCAGAAAAATATTAATTTTATATTCTTCCTATTCTACCTTTTATCCTTATTGAGTATCGTATCACAATTATAAAATGAATTTAGAAGAACTTTAAAAAAATCAGAATATGAAAAATATATACCATTAATTTTTTTAAATACTGAAATTAGTTTTTTAAACTGATCTCCGTCTAATTTTTAATTGTTTTAAAGTTATTGCTAGGTAGTCAAACACCCTTTTAATAGTGCTATCCTCATTATAGCAAGCCTTGAGAAAGCAACATCCTGTTTAACCAAATTGGAACCACAATGCGAAATATTCCTGCACATCAATCTTTGAATTTGAAATGGAAACGTGATGGCTTCTACATCTTTTCAGGACCTTATCTTCATTTTTAAACTTTTCCTTCCTTTACGCCCTATATTTGAAAATAGAAAACTTCCTTGAAGTTATCTTAGACATTCATTTTGCCGAATTTAATTGGGTGATTGCCCAACTTCTGACCAAACAAGGTACTTTGGTGTTTCATCCTTTCAAGCATCTTTGTCAGTCTTACTTTTTTCTCGTTTTCTCGTCTTCAGTGCGACGTGGTTATTTGTGAGAGGTAGATAGTCTATTTGAAACCGCCTGTGACTTATGAAAAAAAATTTATGCCTTTTATCTCTTCCCGAGTTCATGGTATAAAGAGAACTTCTTAACCCTCTTCTAGCTAACTTTAAAAATTTAGTGGGGATTAATCCTTTCGTTGTAGACACCCCCATCCTCAAATACTAGGGGAAAGAATGAGCTATCAGATGAGGGTCTGAGAACGACCTTAGGGTATAGATTAGGCTGTATCCTATGTCTACCTCAAAAATGTAAAAGGTGTAGGAAGGAGTCTTATTCTAAGGAAAGAATAACTTGTTTATATTCTAAAGAGCAGTTCAGTCGCCAAAGAGTTCACATTTTCATTTTATCTCTATAGTTATTTCTAGCAATGAGTTCTTACTTTAGACTAGATTTTAGGTAAAAAAAATTCGCAAATTAATGGGGATGGCAATTGCTGGGTTCCGAAGCTATTTTATTTTCCTCGTATCTTAATGAGAGCTTCTTTTACTTTTTTAAAAATTTCAATGTTTTTTTCTGCCTTATAAGTTTTTTAAATAATATATGCTTTTTTATTTGTTTAAATAGTTTACAAGTTTTTTTATATTTTTATATAATATATGTTATTAAATAAATAAAATTTTAACTTAAAAAATAAATAATAGTCTTCTCTCCACAGGATTTAGCTAGACTTACTTTTCCTTCCTTATTATTCTTATTTGCCATATTTCATCTTTATGTATATAAATTTTTTTTATTTTTAACATAAATATTGTATATTTTAGTGTAGATAAACGCCCGATTTTTAGAAACGACTCTTAATAAAAAACAATTTTGACCCATAAGACTTGCTGTGGAAAAATGCTTCATGACCAAAGTCCGCTTATCCATTTTATTCAAAAATAATTAATTATTTCCCAAAATATGGACTCAAGCTGCCTAGTAATGAATATAAACGTCCGCCTTAATTTTATGAAAAGACGCGTCCCAAAGACGCTATAATGCGACTACATACTTATTTTCCGTCTAAATAATTTTTTTTGAATTCGTAATATTTTATTTTTATTTATATATTTATATTATTTTAAAAATATACATAAAATTACATTTATTATTCATTCGAAAAGAAAAATGGACATTAAATCACAATCTTATATTTTGAACGTAACTAAATTTAAGAATAAGAATATATGTATATATTATTTATAAATTTCGCAATTGTTCATTTAAATTTTCATATTCTAGCGTTAACTCATTTTCTGACCAAAAATCTAGAGTAATTTATGGCAGTAATTTTTTTATACAATTTTAGATTGTGGAAAAAATTATTCCGTCTTTTTTAAAAACGAGACATGTCTCAAAGACGCTAAACCATAGACGGGACATGTTTTAATGATGTTAATCATGGACGGAACTGCGTCCGTCATTTACCCTCGACCCATTACAAAACCAAGTTGCTTAAAATTTTTCATTTAATTGACAATCTCTTCCCCTAATAATTGCAAAATTCCGTTTAACTGCCCAAAGCTTTATATCCAGTTTAAAACTAAATCGCTTATAATTTAATTCATTTTTAAAGGGCCAACTTGCGATAAAAAATTATAGCTAAGTAAAATATAAAACCATTCTTCATATAATTAAATAATTATACCAAAGCAATGATTTAATATTAAAAGATATGTAAAAGTAAATTAAAGGAAAATATTTGCACCTAGACATATTTTGTAATGCTTTGCTTGCAGTCTTGGGATATATTACTAGTTTATCAAATAAATAACTATTATATTGTTGCATACATACTTTCTTACCAGTTGGCGTTATGATAGTAATTGGGAAAAAATGTTTCACAGAAATTGTTATAAAATATTTTTTAAATATTTAAAATATGGAATTCATGATATTAAATTTTTTTTAACATTATTATAGACAATGGCGTGCTGAAAAATGGTTTACTAAAATATAAAATATTTTTGGCGTATGTCTAAAAAATAACTTAATGGTAACTTTTATCAAAATAACAAAGCTACACTATGTTAATATCATGACTGCCGATTTCTACTTGAGTTTTAGCTAATTCGTAAACAAATCTAGTAGGATGAGGTCGAGATTTGATAAAACTGTCGATCTGAAATGCTACCACGGGTCTAGGGTAAAGCCGAAGAATGTGGCAATGGTCTTCGAAATGTGCGAACATATTAGGAGAATCGAAAAATCTCACCTTATATATTATAAATATAATATTGATTTATAAATTGGGAAGGGGGGGGGGGAGTAAATGAATATAAAGAAGGGGGAGAAGAAATGAATAGAGAGAAGGGAGAGAACTAAAACTGACCATAGCTATCCTAGTCGCCATATCTACTATGTCCATGTCGTTAACGTAAGCTATGGTGGGAATTGTAGCAGCTATTTTAGATTCGATCTCATTTTCATCGTGGATCGAAATGATCTTGGCATCATTGGATGTTGCTGATGAAATATTCATACCATCAGGCTCGGATGTTACCACGCTCATACTGTACAAGGCCTTGTACAAATATGTTAAATTTTGAATTTAAACTTGTTATATAACTAGCATAATAGGAATTATATATTTTATAATTTTAAAGGTAAAATCTTAAAATATATTTCAAAGAAAATATTTAAAAAATCCGACCCGAAATCCATTAGTCCTTCCGACCTGGTTATTTTCTAATAAAACATGTTTTAAATGATCTGTTTTTATATAATAGTTATTTCTACCAATAAGTCCTTAGGCTATCATATTTATACGATAAATTTTTGCAATCAGCCAAACTGCTGTGTTCCGAGGAATCTAATAAAAACTTTTTTTTTCTTTTAAAAATTTATTATTTATTCTCCCATCTTTTATGTTTTTAAATTTAATATAGCTTTTATGTGTTATGTTTTTTATATTTTATTTTAGTATAGCTTTATACTGGCGTATCCATAAATTTCCAATGTTGGAGCCCTATTAGGTTGGGTTTCTGTCAGAAATTTTATTAGAGGTTTTTAGGTCCACTTATTGTAGACTTTTGGCTATATTCTATTTTTATAAAAATAATTTTGGTTTTTAACCTTTTTTCAAAAAATTTTGATTTATAATCGTTATTTTAAAAATTAATAATTTTACTTATTTTTCTTTCAAATTTTTGTTTATAGTCGAGGGGATTTTTAATAGCTTAAAATGATATTTACAAAAAAAAGGCATATTTCTGATGGGGAAGGAAATTTCAGACTTTCTCACCCCATGGTCATGCGCCTGATTTTATACGTGTTATTGCGAATTTGCATTTTATTTTTCACCATGAATCTAGGGGTGGGCTGGTGATGCTGCGGCTTTTTAGGCAAATTTATCTAGCAATTATTTTACGGGTCTTCAGCCGGTTCCTCTTTAAAGGTTTATTCTTATTATATGGCTTTTATTATTTCTAACAATATTTGATAAAAAAAACATGCAAAAAAGATGGGCTTTAAAAATTATATCCCAGCTATTATATTTTTAAAAATGATAATAATAGCATATTTTATTTTAAGTATTGTACGTATAAATCATAATAGCCCATATGAAATTATAAATATTACAAAGAGAAATAGACCTGTGCACTTTTAAAATATGATATATTGAAAATATAGCTATAGTTTCATGCATATAATTTAAATAAACGAATATGGCATTTAAATTAAATCTCGCATTAACTTTGAAATTTGGCGCAACCAAACAAGAATCTCTTCTATTTCAATTTGCGCCAACAAATCTCTTTTGGGTGTCTCTTCCCATTCCTTTTAAATTAGTTCTCTGACAATTTACTCTAGTAAGTTAACATGTTAAAATTCATAATTTAAAAGTGTTCGCAAAAATATGCCATTGCATTTGGTATGCCGGGGGAAACGGCTTCAACAAAATCAGTTATGGAGGCAATGTCTACCCTTGCTCTCTACACTTGTTTAACAATGTTTACATTGGTGAGGTAGAACAATTTCGCAGTTGGGCATAATCAAATAGCCGTTCTTAGCCATCTGTGGAAAAAAGCAAATAAAGGTTTTTGGAAGGTATGGTTTACAGAGACACCTAGTTCAGGTGGTGAAAAACTATGAAATAATCAATCCTTCTGTGAACATGAGGAATTATTTCCATATTACTTAATTCAGTCGTTTATTAAATATTACTTATATTTTACTTTAATATTGCATAAATATTATTCAATTCATATTCTAGGCTATTTATTCATGAACCCCATTTAAAAATGATGAACCTTGTTCGTTATTTTATGACATTTTTGTTAGGTAAATTTGTGAGGATGTAGGCGATGAGAAAATACTTTTAGATAGTTTGGTATAATTCGGGATGCTTTGGATTAGAAATCAAATATATTTTCAGTATCTAATCTTTAAATGTTATTAAAAACATCGAGGAAGAAGCTCATTTGAGTTGAGATGTGGCTTCTTTATAACGACTTCCTTCTTTTTAAACACCCTTTTGTATTTATGAAATATTTATAAACAATCATCATGGAATTCTATTTCTCAAATCATCGATATCGATTGCACTGGTTCTAAAATCTGGAGTTTTTTGCAGATATTTAAGAATTAAAATTATTTTAAAAAATGTTACTTGAAGAAGCAAAATATGATTTATTTTTAATTATTTTGCCTTAAAAAATATTGGGTTTTAAACCTTTTTCTTTGAAAAGCAAACAAGTTTAAAACCAAACATATATTATCCTTAAAACAACAAAATATTGTCATTCAACTTGTAAAGTTTTGTAAGATATTTCAATGATACATATAAAAAAAGGAAAGTATAATAAAGAAGAATAGAAACAATGAATGGTAAATTATTATTTAATGTATTGTGTTTTAAAACTTGTGTTAGGTGACTTCTCAGTAAGGATCCTTCTGGTTCAGGTAAGGAAGGTAAATCCAATCCGGTAGGGTTTATCATCTAAGGAGTTTAAAAAAAAATATGATTAATAAATTCATAGATAGGAACATATATAAGTATTTTTGTTTTCATCATGCCCTTATATAAATTAGAGGTCGGAAGTGGGCTGGTTTTTAACCCAAAACTAATCACCCATTGTTTTCAATTTTTTTAACTATCTTGCCCGTGGTTTTGAAAATAATTCATCCTATCACTCATTTATCTAAAAAATAATTGAATGCGACAGCCTGCCTAATGTTTTAAAAAGGCTTTAATATATTTCACTTAGCTTATAAAATGTGCAGTATTAATAAATAAAAAAATATTTTTTAATTAATATAAGCCCGTTCTGTTCATTTCACCAAAAATATATTTCAAATTCACTTGCTCTGCATTTTTTTGAAAATATTTTTAACCCGCCCAACCACCCGGCTAATGTATATCATTTCAAACCCGCTTGTTTCAGACCTCTAATATGAATACCAGTAGAATTCAGATAAAGATATGGCCAATTAATTATTAATAGTTTTCCACCCAGGAACATAGGGGATATTGCGGCCTCGTAGAAAAATTTCCCTAGCGGCTTTATATATAAGAGGGGTTTGCCCCCATACTTCAGGCTTTCTACCTAATCCCCTTTCAAGGTGCATTCTAATTTAATGATTTTTATAATATATTGATTATATTTATGACAAAAAAGATAGGTTTAAACTCAAATTGAAACATATATATTTAATAAAGAGAAAAAACTAGAATGGCAGGTTGATCAATTTTTTTCTAAGATAATATTACACGAAGTTATCAAAAACATAGAATATTTTATTCTATAAAATTGCAATTTACAATATATTCTAAATTTTTTAGTCAATAGTTTTAAAAAAAAATAATAGATGCAGATCTGGTTAATTCAGCAAAACTTTTATTGCGAAAGATTTATAGCAAAGTGAATGCGAAACCCAAATTGCGAAGACAATTGCACGAAAACAATACCGTGATTGCCCAAAATTTTGAGCAAAAATAATTTTTTACGATCAATCATTTTTTAAAAAAAATTGTGATTTCATCAAAAAGATATTTTATGCCTAAAAGTCACAAAAGAATTGGGTAAAATTAGCATACTCAAAAAAAATTAACCTTATTTTGAAGAACATTTCAAATTCTAACTGCGATAATTGTTAATAGTGTATATTTTATTTTAATAAATTTATTTTTAAGACATTATTTTTAAAAAATAGGTTGAAAGATTAAACCTATCAGTCAATAAAATATCAGACAGGGTCTAGCAAATCTTTTATTTTTTGTAAAATTTGAATAGGCCAGCCGGGCATTAAAATTTTAATATATCTTTTTGAATTCAAAGCGAATATTTTAATTTTAATTAATACTATTAGAAAATAAATTAAAATATGTTTATTTTTTTGTAAGAGCTGTCTAACTAAAATACCAAATCTAAAAATAATATATTAAATTAAAAAAAATTAAATAGTTTATTTATAAGATAAAATTACAAATGAATAATATAGATTTAAACACAATTGATTTATAAAACGGTTGTTAGAGAGCATAGCCATAGAGAAAAAAAATAAGTGCCTTAATTGACATTGGGGGTGGGTAAAGTTAATATAGACATTAAAAATAAGATGGCCGGAAAATTCATATAAAAAAATTTTAAAGGGTCAGGATGGACTTTTCGTAAAACTTTAATGGGCAGGGCCTGATTTTTTATAAAAAAATTTAAGACCGGGCTGGTTTTTTTTAAAACTATAACGGGTTACTCTTTCCTTTTAAATTATATACCTACTTGTAGTTATACAATTAATAACTTTGTTGAAAAATTAGTGGATAAAACTCGGTTCAGCTTTGGGTGACTTTGATTATGATACATGTGAAATATATGTACAAATGTTAAATATTGTAAAGAAACCTTATCCGAATCCAAATCGATTAACCACACATCTTTAGGCAAAGATACTCGTTTGGTGCTTAGGAAGGTGGAAGGTATCCCAATGAAATATGGTGTGGGTGCAAAAAATAACTTGATATCGATTGTTTTAATTTAAAAAAATATTTATGTAATATATAAAATAAAAATTAGCTAAGAAAACACATTATTTCGTATAGTATATAATTGAGAATCTCATAAATTTACTCATGTTTATTAATTATATATTCTCAAGTATTTTATATAAGCCACGAAATATGCTAATGTCTTACATTCCGCTAAATGGAAGAAAATTTTCACAGACTTTATTAATACTTAAAAATGGGCGCATAAACTCGCTTTCATATTCCTTTGTTCAAAATAAAATATATTTAAAAAAATGTTCTTATGTTTTTTATAAAAAATTATAATTAATATATTGTGAATATAAAAATATTTTAAAAATTAGAATAAATGAAAGGAATAAAAAATGTTAGAAATTAAAATTAATATTCACCGATATTTGATAAACAAATAATTAAATAACAAAAAGTAATTTTAAAAAGCCGTTAATTTTAGAAATCCCTATTTCCCAACCTCATAGGATTTTCCATCCTATGTTTATCATTCTTTTCAGTCGTGAACGAAGTTCGTTTTTTTGAAAAAAGGTGATGAACGGCGTTCCTTTTTTTTGACGAACTTTGAACGTGAACGCGTTCCTTTTCTTTGATGAACGCGTTCAATTTTACGTTCGTTCAATTTTAAAAACACTTTTTATTTTTATTTATTTGAAAAATTAATATTAATCCGCATTTTTTAACAAAAAAGTCTTATATTTTTATTTATTTGAAAAATTAATATTTAATCATTTTTTAACAAAAAAGTCTTATATTTTTTTAATCAGCTGTTTTTACTTTTTCCTCTTTCATATTGCAATTAACGTACCATAACGTGCTACTGCTTGAGAAGATAAGATTAAAGTTTATTAATTTGAATATTTTATATTTTAATTTAATAGATTAGGATTTGCAAGGATATAAATATTTCATCATCAGATTTTGAAAATAAAAATTCAATATTAGATGAATTAGAATTACCATGGCCCTATCAAAAATATTTCACTGTTTTAAAATCAATTCCGAGATATCCTTTTTTTTTGACGAGGAAGAAGAGGGCAGATTGGAGGATGATAACATAGCTCAATTTTTTGAGACAATGGATAAAACATTAAATGTTTTTAATAAATTCCCCCTTTTAAAAGAATGTTTATCAAGTATAACACCGCAATCCCTTCATCTGCCCCTGTTGAGCGAGTTTTTAGTATAGCTAACGCTGTATTAAGTGCCAAGCGTTCATGCCTATCAGATGAAAATTTTGAAAAGCAATTATTATTAAAAATTAATAAGAAAAATTTTTTATAAATTTATTTTTTTATCGCTCTATTATATTGTATTTATAATTATATTATCAAAATAAAACTATTATTTTTTATCATGGCTATCTATTGGGTTGAAAAATATAAGGCATTTATTTATATTAAATTTAATTTTAAAAAAAATTTATCATAAAATTTTGAACGCATTTTTTGAATTTGAACGTGAACGCGTTCGATTTTTGTCAATGAACGTTGAACGCGTTCGATTTTTTTAAAAATGTTTACAGCACTAATCTATAACGATCAGAGACTTTCAGTGGCCTTAATTTTTTGACCAAGCCCGGCCCAGGCCCGCGGTAAAAAAATTTTTTAGGCCCAAGCCTGGCCCATATCTAATGTTAAAAAAAATGCCCAAGCCCATGATAAGTTTTAAAAAAATTTTCCAAACCCGGCCCAAGCCCATATCCAAAAATTTAATTTTTTTTTATTTAATGTAAATAAACAATATTTAAATATTTAGGCAATCATTTTGTTTACAATACTGAAATTTATTATTAGAAGAAGAAAAACAGTATTTTTTTAAATTAGCAACTGTTTTAAATAATCTAAATTTAAATTTAAAAATTTTAGGCCCAAGCCCAGCCCATTAAAAAAATTTTTTTTTAATCCAGGCACGCTAGAAAATGTAATATAGCCAGGGTATGGGCCTGTGGGCCGGCCTATGAATGTCTCTGATAACGATATAGCGTTCGTTAGCGTGCTACTTATAAATTAAATATATAAATCTTAGATCATTATTATTAAATTTGAAGTAATAATATTGGAATTTAATTTACAATTTTGAAATTTCATTATATATATGAATGGAATCCCAGAGAAAAAGTGGAAAATAACTAGACCGAAAATACCTGACGAAAAAAAATGCGAAAAAAAAGGAAAAAAACATGATAAAAAACTGGAAAAAATCTGTATTATTTTAAAAAAAATTGCAATCCATCTTTTAAAATAAAATAGCGAAAATATTTTTATGACTATTTTTAATCAGATAGTATATTAATACTAGCTAATAACCCGTCAAGAATGATGGGGTTGAGGGGTAATAAGTTAGTTTACTAAATATACTTTACTAATATTTTGTAAAAAATATTAAAATTTAGGAGAAAAAGAGGTAAATTTGTGAATAACACCTCATAAGATATTCTTAATTTCTGATTTATCTATCATCGAATAAGGGAGAAAAGTATAATAACCCGTCTTTCTTGATGGGCAAAATGAAAAATATAATAACTAAGAGTACCAGAGCTATTTCCTAAACTTTCAATATTAGCTAGAAAGGTCCTGTGCGTTCCAGCTACAAGCACACCCAGCGAGCGTGTATTTTCCATAGCTGGGCTCACTCTGAACTCTAAAAGATCATTAATGTCCTATAAATCTAAGTATTATATATGATAATTTTAACTTAATAAAATCATTAAATTATAGTTATAAACATAATAAAGCATAAATTTTATTTTATAAGTGTTTCCAATGAATTTATAATTTTAATTAAAAAAAATTTGAGTTAGAAAAATATTCGACGCCGCCGCGTAGCCACCAATTTTTGTGGCGGCGTCTAAATCGATTCGCCGCCGTCAGCTGATTATAAAAATAAACGCCGCCGCCGATAAGGCTGTCGGCGCACATGTCTACCTATGCCTAAAATTTAATATGAAAAAAATTCCCAAGCAAAGGCCATAATAATTTTGACAAAATTTCCCTAAGCCCGACCAAAGATCATAATAATTTTGGTATTTGAGAACTGAAATAAAATATTTAAAAAATCATAATTAATTTAAAAATACAATCAAAATCAGATTTTCACGGGCCTTCGTTTTTTAATCAGGCCGAGCCCAGACCTGCAAAAAAAATTGTTTTCGGTTAATGTCTGATCTATGTTAATTATAAATTCCCAAGCGTCCAAGCTGATAATAATTTTGAAAAATTTTCCCCAAGCCCTGCCCAATATAATTAGTGAAAATATTTTCCACGCCCAGCCCGACCAATAATAATTTTCCTCAAACCTGGCCAACCCATATTTATTTTAATTTTTATCCCAAGCCTGGAGATAGGTAAATATCTAAAACCATATCTATTTTTTATTCTTTTTAATCACGCTCAATCCTATTACAGACCAAGGCCAACTAATTAAGACTAAGGGTGAATACTAAGTAAACATATATTTAAATTAGCTTTTACCTGAGACACATTAGGATAAACACGGATATTTCGGTATAATTCATGATTAACTGTCGTAATGAAAAACTTAAAGTGATATTGATAGAGGAAAATACGACGGATCTAAACATTATTGATGATATAGTGGTCAAATGTCAATCGATGGAAGTTATAGATAATAAAATCTGTGCAGAGAAAGATTTATGGAGAAGATACGATGGAGCTAAATGGCAAGGAAATACAGGATAGAGAGACAATAAATATGTATATATAGGGGCTGAAAACAGCGGAAACAACAGCAAACAAGAGATTATATAGATACCGTATAACGCTACAAAATAAGATCAATTATATTAATGATTTTATTATTGATATTCAATTAAATAATCTTAATTTTTCGTTTATGATAGATACTGGATCTCTAGTGACGTCCTTGCCCATCAAAGATTTTGAAAGGCTCGGTAATTATAAAAACATTGAACTGAGTAGTTGTTTCAGAAAATAAGGGCTGTGCCGATATTAAGTTTCGGATCGGTACTGATATTTAGTGTTTTCCGAAAATATCGGATCGGGCCAATACCTGTAAAAACCGATCCGATCTTTTTACTTTTTTTTTGTTATTTTATTTTATTTTATGTTATGTATATTTATTTTACATTATTATAATATATTCTAAATTATTTTTTTAAATTATATTTCTTTTTTAAAACAGATATATAGTATTTTATTTTAAAAGTTTCTTTTTATAAAAATAGAAAGGAACACTCAAAGTTTAATTTATTTTAAATCTTTTTAAATAACGCAAATTTTTTTACTTATACTTTAAATTAAAGAATTTTTTTAAATATAGTATCTGAATTATGGAAATATTTTACAAAAGAAAAGATAATTTTGCAAAAGCGGAATCAACTGAGTCTGCCTTCAGTACGGCAGGAGATTCCATATCGTAGAAGCTTATTCCCAGAAAATCTGGAGGCTCTCATATTTATTAAAAATATCTAATATCTAATATATTATAATTTTATATATTAAATATTACAATTTTATAATTCATACCAACATAAAATGGATTTATTATTAAATATATTATTTTTTATTATAGTCTTAATTGTAGAAATAAAAAAATTGAATTAAATTCATAATTCGATTTTTTGCATAAAAAATATTGATTTCTTAATTATATTTGGTTCAAGCGGGGGTGATTAAAAATCAGTATAAATATCGGATCGGTTTTGAAGCAATATCGGGAAATATCGGATCGGATAGGTGAAAAATATGTGGATCGGCACAGCCCTATAGAAAATTATTCTCTTATGAAGGCTCTCCATCATAGTCGTTGGGCAACTTATCAATTGTAAAGTTAAATGTTATTAAATATTAAAATTTTTATGTAATGTAGGGGACCACCCTTATATGGTCAGGATTGGATTAAGGAATATGATATAATCAAATAATTTTGATACAGACATTATTAATAAACAAGAAATAGGGGATAATTTTTTTTAACTTTTAACAATCCTTTTAC